ATAAACAATGAAAACAATAGGTAGGCTTTGCAAGTAGGCTAACCGGGTATTTGAAGTGTCACTGAAAATGAGGGCATGTGGGATAGACAGAAGATTTGCCTTTCAACAGGCCACTTACAGACACATCAGTGCAAGGGTTCTTCAACGTGCAGAGAGAGTGGCATTCACCCTACACGTGGCATATGATTTAACGCCCCATTCTAACCGGATCGATATACCTGCGTATTCATACATCCCTCACGCGCACCCTACTTTTGCTATGGTTTTAAGTCATAGTACTACCAGATGAAAGAAGTCCCGGAAATACAGTATTTGAATTTCTATACCCAACTCAATCCTTGGGTTCGAAATAAAGGAATTATTCTACTACAATGAAATGTCAAAGTTTAACAGAATGCAATTAAAGCAGATCATGATTGGAGACATGTTTACGAGTGAATGTAATGCTTGAACTTATATTTACCTATACTCTGGCTATTATAATTTTGTTCTATACCTGTTAAACTTGGTGTAAATGCTTTACATGCTTTTAGTGCTTATTAGTTATTTCATGAACGACAGATTGTCTGCATTCTGTTTGCTTTAATATACTATGCATTGCTTATTGTTTACTATAGTTTGCTGTGCTTTGCTAGTAATGTTTATGCTATACATGATATGCTTTTTATTTCATGTCTAGTGTTTATCATATGTATGTCGGTTGAAAGCTCTACAGAGCTTATATTATACTGTTAATGTATACCCGACTTTAAATAAATATTTTAAGTTTATGGTTTATGCTATTAGAAATATTATTACGCGTCTTGGAAGACAATGATTGTCAGGTTATCTAAGACAAATCAAGGTAAAATGTTGTAAACTAAGCATAAAACTGTGATTATCGAACTAAACAAACAGAAGCTCATGTCCCAAGTGCTTTGTCTTGTTTAATGCCGAAAATTATTCTGAAATGTGTCCGAAAATCTGAGGCCATATTTCCCACCTTGACATTTTTACCTATTATGTCTGTTTGTTTCGCTCACACATTGTTGTCAATATAATGGAATTTTACGCGACTGTCATACAAGTAAGAGGTTTAGCTAGCTATAAAACCAGGTTTATTCCACCATTTTCTACATAAGGAAATGTCCGTACAAAGTCAGGAATATGACAGTTGTTTTCCATTCGTTTGATGTGTTTGAGCTTTTGATTTTGCCATTTGTTTAGGGACTTTCCGTTTTGAATTTTCTTTGGAGTTCGGTATTTTTGTTATCATAAAATACCTTTAAAAAATTCTTTAGTTAGCCAGGTTTTGATGCAATTATTCCGCTGCATACAAGAGTATTTTTGCATGAATCATGGAAGTTTTATATTCAGACTGAATAATAGTTCTGTTCAACGTTCATCGGAGGCAAATTGTAGGTACATATTGACCAAGAAGTCTGCTTTATAAAATCGACAGAGTCCGCAGCCCGCTGTTATACATTATCATCCCACATATAATTATAACTCCCGAGTTAACAGTTCGTGATCTTAACCATAAACACTGCGAGTCTAACGGAGAGGGGGTAAGATTTATAGTTGATCAGGCCAACGATCGTACCATTGATGAGGTTAATAATATATATATATATATATATACAAGTCTAAATTGAAAACAACGTTCAAACCTATGATTGCGTTGGATAAAAACCGCAATTTTTATACGTGTGCATGCAAAACAAATTTCTTGGTAGAGGGGTCTAAATACAGCACAAACAACATTTTCCAAAAGACCAAATGAGTGAAAAAGTATATTTTAACAAAACGCATTTGACTAGCAGGTCGAACAACGGATGTTCTTAAACCCTGCTGACTGCCATGGCGATTGCCAAATAAACAGATCACCAGATGTAAAAATGGATCTTAATTTATTAATAATATACCAAACAGAAAACAATAAACTTGCGGAAAAGATGGTATACCGCAAACATAAGGTGCAAAAATTTGTACACCATATCCGGATTTCGACGATAAATGTCTCTTCAGTGATGTTAGGAATCGAAACGGTATTTGGAAGGCCATATAATTTACCATATATATATATATATATATATAATTATGTTAAAATATACTTTTTCACATTTTTGGTCTTTTGGAAAATGTTGTTTGTGTTGTATTTAGACCCCTCTACCAAGGAATTTGTTTTGCATGCACACATATAAAAATTGCGGTTTTTATCCAACGCAATCATAGGTTTGAACGTTGTTTTCAATTTAGACTTGTTTATATAAATAAGAAGATATCTATGACTTATTGAACAGATATTGGGGAGGTGTGTATGATACAATATCCCAAATATACAAAACCGCTAGAGCTAACTATCAATTTCGTTGTCATCAACTATCAGAATAAAAGCATACAATATTAATATTGATTTTGTTATCAGTAAATTAAAATCAAACTAAATATTATTTTTATATACTTATGCACATGCATGGCTCTACAATCTGTCGATACCTCTATCTTGGCATTGCACAAGGTCATGTTTACACTAAATCCATTGGATGTTGGATATGTACTGATTGATATTTTAGTCTTAGATGCATGATTTTTTTTAATTAGTTGTTATTGGCTTTGAACTAGCTGTCAGTAACTTCGAGTATTCTCAGATCTGTACTTAGTGTCTTTTTGTTGTTGGGATATATAAGTACCCTGCCACGTCCACTCTGTGTTTTGGTAAGATGTATTTCTATTTGTATCCATCTGATGAGTTAAGCCTTTTTCAAATGATTTTTATAGTTTGTTCTTATGTTGTACTGTTACACCACTGTCCCAGGTTAGAGGGAGGGTTGGCGCCTTAAACTAGTTTAACTCCGTCACATTCTGTATGTGCCTGTCCCAAGTCAGGAGCCTGTAATTCAGTGGTTGTCGTTTGTTGCTGTGTTACATATTTGTTTTTCGTTCATTATTTTGTACATAAATTAGGCCGTTATGCGGTATGGGCTTTGCTAATTGTTGAAGGCTGTACGATGACCTATAGTTGTTAATTTGTTAATTTCTGTGTCATTTGGTCTCTTGTGGAGAGTTGTCTCACTGGCAATGATAGCACATCTTTATCATTTTTAATATGGACCGACACCATGTAGGTTTTATAGAGCATCCATTTCTTCCCGGATAGAGTTGGTAAATTATAGATAAAATTAGAAACATGAACACAAACTTTAAGTGAGAAAGGAAAAATAACATACTTGAACAACACCGAATCTTTTGATCTGATAAAGTATTAGTAAGCCTCGGGAACAAAATGTCGACCTTCAAATCATCGTATCATATTCCCTATACATAGACATCAATTTTCCTGTAGCAAAAATTTCGCAATGCGTTATAATCAATCGTCTACATATATAAACATTCAGCAATAGAAATATGGGATTACACCGACTAAATACGGCTGGCCAAAAGCAATTTTGAAAACCCTTTATTTTTCTACATAGGTTAACAAGAGTGCACACGCTGAAATGTCTCACCTGCTTTACTGACCATTGATTTTATGTTGAAAGTCTTAAAGATAAAAGGTTTTACTAAAAGCAGTACAGAAACTTAACATTTTAAAAAATCTATGACAGTTAGGTCAAGGTTAAATAAATTGTGTCAAACAGACATATATACCTTACAACTTTTTTTATACACCAAATATAGTTGATCTATTGCGTATGCTAATTGAAAAACAGATCAAAAAACAAAAACTTAACATTGACCAATGAATCATAAATATGAGGTCAAGGTCAGACAGACATGTGCACCTTACAATTATTCCATACACCAAATATAGCCGACCTATTGCTATTAGTATTTGAAAAACAGACCAAAACACAAAAACTTAACATTGACCAATGAACCATAAAAATGGGGTCAAGGTCAGATGATACCTTCCAGACAGACATGTACACCTTACAATCTTTCCATACACCAAATATACTTCACTTTGCTTATAGTACTTGAAAAACAGACAAAAACACAAAAACTCAACATTGACAAATAAACCATGAAAATGAGATCAAGGTCTGATGAAACCTGCCAGACTGACATGTGCCCATTACAATCATTCTATACACCAAATATAGTTGACATACTGCTTATAGTATTTGAGAAACGGACCTAATCACGTAACTTTAACCTTGATCACTGGTCCATTAAATGAGGTCGAGGTCGAGGTCAGGTTAACTCTATCTGACGGACATGTAGACGTTTCAAGGAACCAATATACCAAATATAGTTATCATATTACTCATAATAAGTGAGAAATTCACATGACAAAAAAACTCAATTTTTTTTTCAAGCAGTCGCTGAACCATGAAAATGAGATAAAGGACAATGGACATATGATCGACGGAAACTTCGTAACATAAGGTATCTGCATACAAGATATGAAACATCCAGGTCTTCTACCATCTGAAATATAAAGCTTTATACAAATAGTTTACGCCACCACCGCCGCCGGATAGTAATACCTATGTCTCGCATACTGCGACTTTTGTCGCAGGCGAGACAAAAACTACCATGCATTGCTAAAATATTACGCGTTTCTCCAAGATATCTTTTTCGTTCTCTCGAACCACTATACCTAAAATTGCTGAAGTAAAAGGGTATGTTACTTTACTTGGTCCGTTTATCACTCTACAAAACGTTTGATTTTGTTGCGATTTTACATCCAAGATGACTGTCAAGTCGCACTTCAGTCAAACATTTATAGAGACCCATTGTAAAAACGTGTGAAGATCTTTATAGAAGAGGAGCAACTGCTTGTCCTTCACAAAAGCACTAGAGTTCATTTCTGATTGTATTGGGGTTCCTATTGCTCAATTTTATGTTTTTGCGTGACGTTTTTGTTCTAAACTTGTTTATCGTTTTTTCTTTTACCTTTTGGTCAAAGTGATGTTTATATTTTGTCTTTCATTACCCACTTTGTATCTTCTAACTCTTTTCCATACTCCACACTTTTCAAGGAGGGGTAATAATCAAGACAAAACAACACAACAAACATTTCATAAATATTTATTAGGGTTGCATTGTTAACAAAAAGATAGCACCTTATAACAATAAACAGAACGTGATATCAAGCAAAAATTACAACAGATATATGCTAGTGAAAATAACAATATAATGACAGTGTGTCAATTAAAAACCACAGTTGATGTTGATTTGTCGGTGTAAATGGTTTTGTTGTTGTTGGGGTTTTATTCTTAAGAAGGGGGTTATCACTATACTAATATTCTAAGAAACTCGTCTCACTGAACTCTAATGCAAATGTTTGCTAAATATGATCACCAAATATTTGTTTACTCAATTATGTTGTGTTTTCTGCATTACTCATTATTTCATTTTGCAAACAAGTGATAGGGGCAAAAACATAGTTTACTCTCCCCACACATTCTCTTGAAAGCCCTCCTTGCCCCTCCGGCTTATACGCTATTGCACAACTAAACTAAATAAATAAAAATTATATATATAAAAAATAGGTAATCAGTATATTTGAAATTCTTGGGTTTTTCTATGTAAGCAATATTGGTCTGATTAGTGAGAAATTAAATAAACCAGCTTATTAGATAATAATAATTAAATAAACACATTTGCAACTTATCTTTTACAAATAATGATAGGTTGACTCGGTATTGAAGTCCTTAAATAACTTGACCGAGCTGACCAAACACGGTATATTCAACAGATTTGGAAAATGAAATCGTCCTTGCAAAATGAAATTACCTTCACCTAATAATATCATGCAATTATGTTATAAAAATAACCAAGTTCTGAAGTTACAAAAGAAATGGGTAATGTAACAGATCTTTCATTGAGCAGCAAAAAAACAAAGGTCAAGAATAGCACGTACATACATAATACAAATAAATACATAAATACACAAGTGTAGGTTTTTGAAATGAACAAATGAACAAGACTAAAAAATGAAGAAAAAAATATTAGGAAACATGGTAAAACTGACCAACAATTTGCTGACTATAATTTTACTATTTACTATACCAAAAGGTTGCAGTGATGATTAGTCTACTGATTACTAATAATATTTGTTTCTGGAAAATAGACATAGTTTTACATGTAAATACAATCCTAACCAAGGTCATTTAAATCTGAAATGTAGGTCAAAGTGACTCAAGTGTTGCTTAACAGTTGCACTAAACAATTGTACTATATTATAGAAATATTCGATAATTATTGTACATTTGTACGTAAAACTTCACCAAAGTTCTTCAGAGTAAAACGTAGGTCATAGAGACCAAAATTTTGCTGATAAGTCATGTTTTTCGCAAAAAAAATTGCAATAGTAAAATATCTTGTAAACCCTATTAAAGGTTTCGGAGAACAAACATGAACACAAAACATCATACACTGAGTCATTTAAGTGTTAAATATAAGGTCTTTGTGACTCACAGGCTGCTTAATGGCGTTGTACCACGCTTGATGACAGAAGTCGTGAAATACCTATGAAATATTACCGAAAAGGGGCGTATATATACGGACGGACTTGCGTCAAGTTGAAATAAAACTGCTACTGTACTTCACGAAAACGGCATTGAATTAAAATTCACTTATAAAATTATGTATCAAGTCTCTAAATGAAGTTAGGAAATGAACTAATAATATTTAAGAATTGAAAAAGAAGAATTGTCCATATCCAAAAATCGTTAACCAATCCCCATTCCAATAACTTCGTGTTAATTTATATAATTATATAATTTGCGCGACACAGACAATTCCAGTATCATAATGTTTATCCTTACTAAAATGGGAACATGTAATAAAGACATTATAAGCATGATTGAAAGAATACTACAAAGTGATTTTAAATTACCCTGTGAATGACATGTCATTAAAAAATATATATATTATACATCTGTATACGTAGTGCGCAATAATGTTTGTTCTAAGACAAGCACATCTTCTTCAATCATATCCCTATAGAATCAAAAACATTAAAAAAAATCAAGTTCCAGTCTATAAAAAGCATAAATGACAAGCCAGCAGAAATAGTTCGAGTCTAAAAACCGATGTAACCATGTCTACTGGCTTATTTCGCAATGGCCGTTGCTCTATATATGTACACTACAACATAAACTGCTTTACATTTAACGATGGACGTATAAGTTTTGACTGGCTTATTCTTGGATTTTTAAAACTTTATAACAAAATGACATAGAGTTTCGGGAAAATGACAAGACCAATGCAAAACATGATAGGCTAATCGATAATATGGTCGAGGTAATATCCATCTATAATACCAGTAATCATCATTGTGTCTGAGAAATAAAACTAAATGTGTAAACTTAATCAAAAGAAGATACTAAAGCATATGATATAGGTCAATGTGACCAAACTGTCACAAAGTTGTGTTGTACGATATAAGGGAATTATTATGAATATCATATAAAAAAGAAGATGTGGTGTGATTGCCAATGAGACAACTCTCCACAAGAGACCAAATGACACAGATATTAACAACTATAGGTCACCGTACGGCCTTCAACAATGAGCAAAGCCCATACCGCATAGTTAGCTATAAAAGGCCCCGAAATGATAAATGTAAAACAATTTAAACGAGAAAACTAACGGCCTAATTTATGTACAAAATAATGAACGAAAAACAAATATGTAACACAGCAACAAACGACAACCACTGAATTACAGGCTCCTGACTTGGGACAGGCACATACAGAATGTGGCGGGGTTAAACATGTTAGCGGGCGCCCAACTCTCCCCCTAGCCTGGGACAGTGGTGTAACAGTACATCATAAGAACAAACTATAACAAGAATGTGTCCATAGTACACGGATGCCCCACTCGCACTATCATTGTCTATGTTCAGTGGACCGTGAAATTGGGGTCAAAACTCTAATTTGGCATTAAAATTATAAAGATCATACCATAGGGAACATGTGTACTAAGTTTCAAGTTGATTCGACTTCAACTTCATCAAAAACTACCTTGACCAAAAACTTTAACCTGAAGTGGGACAGACGAACAACAAAAAGACACGAAGTACAGATCTGAGAGTACTTGCAGTTACTGACAGCTAGTTCAAAGCCAATGACAACTAATATCATATCAACTTTGAAAATTGAACCAAAACACATAATTTAAGAAAATCAGTCGGAGTAAGAAGACGGGGGTGACACGTAGGAAATATTACCAGGTTTTCACCAGAACTGGTAAGGGTACATGTATATGATTATCATTTCAAATGTAGAGGAACAAGATAACAATGAAAGCCTTTAAAAGTCATTGCTCACATACTATGCACTGGTGACTGCTAATTTTAATTGTCTATAACTAAGAGAATTAAAAATAAAGATTATAGAAGACAATAAACCATTGCAAAAATTTTTTTTCTCATTTAGTTTGTAGAATTGCATAAAACTATAAGAAAATCATAATAAGAAACTATACATTGGTTTACCTTCCGTGTCCGACAAATTCTGACTGTCACGATCATGTTCATGATTTAAATCCGCACGTGCTGCGTTATCGTCTGCTACTTCATGAACAGACGACTCTTCTGAACTTGCATCTGAGGTACTGGACAGTTCTCCTTCGTTTGAAGGACGTTTTATGTTTCTACTTGTACTTTGTCCTTTCAACAATATCTCTTTGAGAGGTACTGCACTATAGTCTGTAGGTGATTTTAAGGGGGATTTCAGAGTTTCCATGGCGTTAACGTTTGATGAAGTTGATAATGATAAATTCAGTGATTCTCGGTCTTTATTCTTGCTCGTATACGGATGTTGTTCATCGTCATCTTTAGAGTTCGTATTCTTATTTAAACTCGACAAATATGGTGTAGAAGCAACCGTGTATGTTGGTTTGGGGAAATTATATGAATGTTCTTTGGTTCCATGTTCGTTTTTCACAGAGAATTGTTTTGAGATTTCCATCCGAGGATTTGTAGACTTCACCTCAGAGTTAGTATTTATTGGTTCTTTAAAAGTTTCGTCTGTGAGTTTTGCACGAGGGTAACGGAATTTCGGGGGTTGGATTTTGCTAATATCAAATGTTTTGATCTCCAAAAATTCCTCCCTTGTAGGTTCTGACACCTTGGCAACGGTGTTTACAGTTTGTTTGATTTCAGTAGTGTCAGTTTTTCCTTCATCAAGGATTTTCATTATTGCAAACTGAGAATATGGTAATGTAGCACTTTTAGGCCTCTCTTTGCTTTCTATATTGTGTTGTCTCAATGAACTTGTTCTTGGAGGTTTTGGTGGAGGTTTCCCAGGTACCGAGGAGGTTCTTGAAAAACTTTTACTGGCAGATCTAAAACTGTCAGGCTTATCAGAACAATCGTTACTCTTTTCCGTATCGCAACTAAGCTGTCGGGTAGATACGGATTTTCCTCGGGCAAAATCACGCTCCCGAGTTTGTTGAAAACTTTTAGATCTTTTTGGCTTTGTGACAATAGTTTCTTTTATAAAATCGGAACCACGAGAAAATTCTTTATACATAACACCTTGAGGATCTGGATCAACAGTATGGTATTTCTGCAATAACGCTTGTTTTTCTGTAAATGACAAACCTTGTTTATCATTTTCGTTATCTTCTTCGTTGTCTAATTCATCCTGAATAACCAATTCAGTCGATAACCTGTTAACATTATCTGATCCCATGATGCTATTCTCGGACAAACTGCTCAAGTTGCATCCGTTGATTATATGATCCGAAAGAAGATCCGAGATTCCTGAATTGTTCGAGATTACCGGTGACTGTAATGCGGCCGATAGACAAAGTAGCGCCTCCTGTTCCGCATCTACCTGCTTAACTTCGGTGAATTCTTTCGAAGGTGAAACATTGCCATGTGAAGACAAGGAAATGCATTCGCGACCTTCGAAGTCTGCATCCGTTATTGAAATTGGGATAAAAGAATCCTGTATTCCATCGTCCCTTATAACTTCCTCGTATGGAGGCAAGCCATCCATGTCGTTACTAATTAGCTCAAAACTTTCACCGTTGTTAGCAAGACATTCGCGATTAGCGGTAACTACAGCGGCACACGCTTGTTCTACTATGCCTTCACTTACTAATTCTTCGTTTGTATCTGGTTTATTCGCATACCTATCAGGACTATGTTGTCGAACAGAGGCTCGTTGACTTCTTTCTCGTCTGTCTTTATCTGACGAATGACGTCGTTCTCTGTCTGATGAGTGATGTCTTTCTCTCTCTGATGAATGACGTCTTTCTCTATCTGACGAATATTGCCTGTCACCCTCTGTCGGATGATTGTTACTTCTTTCCGAAGACTTAAGACCCTTGTTTCGCTTTTTATCATCTCTTTTCCTTTCTTTGGAATGATGCTCAGCAGAATCCAAATGTTCACCGGAAGTGGATGGGTGATCACCAGAGACATATACACCACCACCTGACTTCTGCTTACGTCTTTTTTTAGATTGTGACATTAAAGGAGCAGAGCTTGATTGGCTTCCTCTGTCAGTACCCCTACGAAATTCGTCCCTGATTTGTCCCTCTTCGGTCGATGCAGGAGGGTGTTTAGGCTTCGGGCGACAACAGACGTGTTTGATACAAATTATTGAACAGATAAGTGATAAAATAGTTTGTAATGTTCCTGTTCCTAGTAACATACCGTGAATTAGTCGAGTATTCGGGTGGCGGTAGACTGTTTCAAGATAAAATTTACTGTCATATATAAGTCCGCCAACGGACAAGGCTATCACACCGAACGAAGCCAGACAGGAAAACACAGAGAACATCATAAATGTCTTTACAACACATACTCCTCTTGTTTGTGCGGAAGCTATTCCAAAGAATCCAGAGATTGCAATCACAGAACCGCTCCATATCCCGGTAGCAACATAATGTCCCCATATTTGATTAACAAGTCCAATTACAGAGAGGGATATACTAGCTACTCCAACAATTATAGAAATAATGGAAACAGCGAGCACTTTATACGTTGGAAAATTAAACAGCAATCTTATACGTAATGACATCTTATAGTAACGATCCAGGTATTCCAATTGTTATTAATCATAGTAGATATTGAACTGCTTTTTACATGTCTCAGCTGTTGACTATCTTAGAGTCATTGATTTATTTGCCGATATATGTGCAATCGATTTTTAATCATATCACTATTTTTTTCTACAGCTTTATAGTCGTAAATAAATACATCTGATCATAACTTTCACACTAATTTAGTCTGTTGTGTACATTATTTTTTCTATTGAAACAACAAATTTACACTGTAGTAGTACATGCACATGTACAGGTGTTGTAAACATATTTACCTGTGCAAGTAAAATATTCTAAAAACGGACAGAAAAAATGCTCTGGATTGGTTAATGCAGAAATTTTTAGCCAATGAAATATATTGTATTATGAAAACCTTCTACAATAAATCTTAATACCAATGTAATTTCACACAACGACAACATACAGCGTCAAATTCGAAATCATATTATTTTTATCTCACCTGGCCATAAGACCACGTTGGCTATTGTCATCGCTCGTCCGTCGTCCGTCTAACAAATTTTCAAAGATATTTTCTGAAACTGCTGAACCAAGTTCGAACAAAGTAGGGATGAATGACCCAAAAGATACATAGTATAAAGTTTGAGGTTTTAAAGGAGCATTGGCTACGAGATATAAAAAAAAATAAAATATCATTCTGTGAGTGAACGAGCAAGGGATTCAGATATACTCCAGAATGACTTAATACTGGTACAGTCAATGTAAATCTTCTTAATGTATGTTGAATCTGTGCGTCTTTCTGATATCTAGTCTTGAACATTTTAAGTCAGAAGTGTACAGTTGAATGATATACACCATGACAATGCATCACGCCCTGTTACCGTCTGCCGGTATTGCAGAAGCAATAGGTTACACATATCAACATCTGCTCTTCAACGTTTATATTATGTTTGTATTAGGTTTAGGATTTAAAAATATTTTAGCCTCGAGGATCGCTGAAGAGACATTTATCGTCGAAATGCGCATCTGATGCATTACATAAATCAAATTGGCCTATATTAACCGGGTGATCGATCCAAGCTCCTTATAGCCTCTTGTTTATTCCTCAAAGGAAAACAAACAATCCGATGAATAAAACAATTCGGACGTTTACACAAAAATAATAAAAAAAAAAACGAAAATCTTTTCAAATTATTATTGATATTACTGCTGTATACAATTGCAAAATTCATTGAATTGCAAAGACTACCAGAATATCAGACAAAAACTTGCGATGTAGATAGCATACACATTTCAATTGCAATAGGGAACACAAATTATAAGGGGGGGGGGGGGGGGGGGAGTGTATGCATATAATTCAGTAATATATCATCAGATGTTCAAATCTGTTATTCTAGACTCCTAGACATTCTCGTTCAAGAATCGCGGTGTTAGAAAAACTTGAGCTTCACAACACACACAGTAACTGGAATAAATGTTGATTACTAGTAAACTCAACTATCTTCATCGCCTATAGAACACTCAAACAAAACATCGGTAACAGAAAACAAATAAGCGTAAAAAAAGAATATTTTTCAAGTAGACAAAATTACAAGAGACACAATAAGCTACAAAAAAAACCTTCACACGGTAAGCTCTATTAAAAATTTATGACAAAAGAGATAATTTTCGTTTTCTCTTTTTAGGTGGAGATGTTCCTTTGTTCCCTTCTTATCGTGTGTATTTTTCCCGACTCGTTCGCTTTATCCGTGTTTGTAGTTTTAGATTTCAATTAACGTAATCTATATATAACTATGGTAAATTATCAAGTCAGGGATTTCGTTACCACAAATTACTTAATAGCACTAAATTGTTTCATAGATACAAAGATTTTTGCTTGGCAGTTAGGCTGTATACCTGTAAAATCTTATGAAAAAAGGGGTATTACATCCTCATTTTACGGTAAAGATATTTATTGAGCCCGTAGTGATTTTAGAAACGACCCATTAAACTTATTGATACTTTGCATAATCTTCTTTTTAAAAATGTAGTCACTTGGACGTCTTATTATATTTTGGAACTGCACAAGGTCGTGCTTTTCTTAGACAGTTCGTGACGTCTTTACACTTAATTCATAGGATGTGTATTGATTGATACTTAAGTCTGTGAGAATATGATCTATTAGTTGTAATTAGCTTTGGACTTGTTCTTATTGACTGTGAGTACTGTTAGATTGGTACTTTGTGTCTTTTATTTTTATGTTAGTTTTTGTGTGCTACGTGCCAATCTGTTGGTTTTAGCCATTTTCAACTCCTTTTAAAGTTTCTTATGTTGAGCTGTTATATGGTCGCTGTCTCATGTTTGGGGAGGTTTGAGGGCTCACAAAATATGTTGCAAGTCAGGAGCCTGTTATTTAGTGATTTTTTTTTGCAGTTTGTCGTATTTGTTTTTCGTTGATTGTTTTTTTCATAAATCAGTCTGTTGGTTTTCTCGTGAGAAATGTTTCATATTTTGTAATATCGGGACATTTTGTTGTTGACTATGTGATACGGGTTTTGCTCATTGTTGAAGACCGTACATTGACCTATAATTGCATACATCCACGTCAACTTGATTTTGGTGGATAGTTGTATCATTTGCAATCATGACGTATCTCCTTATTTCTAAATCGTTAAAATTTACCGTAGAACACTATGACATTAATAACCCCACTATATAAGGGATTGATACAAACAAGAAGAAAACAGAAAGTTCGCGATAATGGTGACAATTCAGAATAGAAGGAAGTCACTTCAGCAAAAAAGCAAATAATGCTTATAACATAATACCTACTGGCCAGGTGAGGAATTTTTAGTTTTGGTTAATTTATATGTTTCGGAGTTTAGTGTGACGTCCATTTTCGATGAACTAGAATACTTATTGTTTAGGGGACAGCTGAAGCCCGCCTCCGGGTGCGGGATTTTCTCGCTGTGTTGAAGACCCATTGGTGGCCTTGGTCTGTTTTCTGCTTTTTGGTCGGGATGTTGTCTCTTTGAGGCATTCCCCATTTCCATTCTCAATTTTATTAGGAAGCAATCAAAGTTTATTTGCAGCCGACACAAACATATATAGATTTATAATTGCTTAATTGAGAACCATTTATCTTAGAAGGATAATTAGGCAAAATAAGTCCGTCGGCATCAATAAGGTATATACTATTGATCATTTATTTTCATCTGTTGCCTTACGGATGTATTTTTTTCTCTTTCGCCACACGAAAATTTATTTTTCACTTTTGTACACATTTGTTCAAAGCCTATTTAATTTTTCATATAGTACTTTTTTTCAAACCCCCCCCCCCCCCCCCCCCCCATTTTTCCCCCCATTTTCAATCATTTATTTGCAAAAGCAAATTTCTTATTCTTCCGAATACGGAAGTAGACTCCTAAGTAAGAGTGTAAAACTTCCCGGAACTTGTGTACTATGTACATATGGCCTTAATTAAAATTTCTATAATCAATAAAATACAATAGTCTATTGAATAACATATATACATAATGTACAATTGCTTTGGTGGTTTGATAAGGTGTGTGGATCCTTCAAATGTTAGAGAAGATATGCCACTTTTGAAGGATTCCAGGGTTTCAGATATACCTTTTGTTTCAGGTGTTGAATTCCAGTCAGAGATGGTGTTTGGATAAAAAGAATATTTGTAGAAGTCAATAATAGTTGCAATTTGCCCAAATTTATGTTGCCCCCTAGTACGTCTATCAGATTTTATTAAATTGTCCATTAGAACTTCTACTGACCCCCAATTAATTTTATATAGCATTATTAATCTAGCTTTTTAGCTCACCTGGCCCAAAGGGCCAAGTGAGCTTTTCTCATCACTTGGCGTCCGTCGTCCGTCGTCCGTCGTCCGTCGTCGTCGTCCGTCGTCGTTAACTTTTACAAAAATCTTCTCCTCTGAAACTACATTGCCAAATTAAACCAAACTTGGCCACAATCATTAGGGTATCTAGTTTAAAAAATGTGTCCGGTGACCCGGCCAACCAACCAAGATGGCCGCCATGGCTAAAAATAGAACATAGGGGTAAAATGTAGATTTTGGCTTATATCTCTGAAACCAAAGCATTTAGAGCAAATCTGACATGGGGTTAAATTGTTTATCAGGTCAAGATGTATCTGCCCTCAAATTTTCAGATGAGTCTGACAATCCCTTGTTGGGTTGCTGCCCCTGAATTGGTAATTTTAAGGAAATTTTGCCGTTTTTGGTTATTATCTTGAATATTATTATAGATAAAGATAAACTGTAAACAGCAATAATGATCAGCAAAGTAAGATCTACAAATAAGTCAACTTGACCAAAATGGTCAGTTGACTCCTTAAGGAGTTATTGCCCTTTATAATCAATTTTTAACCATTTTTCGTAAATTTTTGTAATCTTTTACAAAAATCTTCTCCTCTGAAAGTACTCAGACAAATTTAACCAAACTTGTCCACAATCATCATTAGGGTATCTAGTTTAAAAAAATGTGTCCGATGACCCCGCCCGCAAACCAAGATGGCCGACATGGCTAAAAAATAGTACATAGAGTAAAATGCAGTTTTTGGCTCATATCTCTGAAACCAAAGCATTTAGAGCAAATCTGACAGGATAAAATTGTTCATTAGGTCAAGAAATTTTCAGACCAATCAGGCAACACGTTGTTGGGTTGCTGCCCCTGAATTGGTTATTTTATGAAAATTTTGCAGCTTTTGGTTATTATCTTGAATATTATTATAGATAGAGATAAACTGTAAACAGCAATAATGTACAGCAAAGTAAGATCTACAAATAAGTCAACATGACCAAAATTGTCAATTAACCCCTTAAGGAGTTATTGCCCTTTATAGTCATTTTTTTACAATTTTCATAAATTTTGTAAATTTTTGTAAATTTTTACAAAATATTTTCCACTGTAACTACTGGGCCAAGTTCATTATGGATAGCGATAATTGTAAGCAGCAAGAATGTTCAGTAAAGTAAGATCTACAAACAAGTCACCATCAACAAAACACAATTTTGTCATGAATCCATCTGTGTCCTTTGTTTAATATGCACTTAGACCAAGGTGAGCGACACAGGCTCTTTAGAGCCTCTAGTTTTCTTCTATTATGTAAACTGTACCATTGCAAAGAATTTATCATGTCGGAAACTGCACCTGGTGTTCTGTCTTTATAATCCTTATAGACAGATCTGATTGATTTACACGGAATCTACTCAACCTGAGTGATGTGGTGCTTTTTATAAGGATTCCAAACAGGGGAAAGTATTCGACGACTGGACGGGTAAGTGATATGTACGCAAGGTTTTTAACCTTATGTGTGCAGTTTTTTTTTAAATTTCTACGAAGAAAGTCTAAGGTTTTATTGGCCTAACAGGTATTATTATTTATATGTGTACCCCAGTCAAGATCATGACTTATAGTTACAACCAAATATTTACTGTCCTAACAGATTCTAATACATTATTATGTAATGTATAATCAAAAGCAGAACGGTTAAGTTTTTTTTAGATATATGTATTACATAACATTTTTCAGGATTAAAATTCATTTTCCAGTCCTGTTCCCATTGCACTAAACTAGATAAATCATTTTGGAGTAATTGAACATCAGAGTTATTATTTACATTTCTATATAATAAGCAGTCCTCTCGGTAAAAAGTCTTACATTGCAATTTACATGTTCCGGTAAGTCATTATTAAATAGTGAAAATAATGTGGGGCATAATACTATTCCCTGGAACACCAGAGTCAACAGCTAATTTGGAAGATTTGACACCATATAAAAGTACCTGCTGTTGCCTGTCAGCTAAAAAAACACTTATCCAATTTAAGTTTTGATTCCTAATACCGTAAACATCTAATTTTTGAGCTAGTCTTTAATAGGGGACTTTATCAAATGCTTTAGAAAAATCTAAAAGTATAACATCTATCTGATTGCCATTTGCCACTGATTTCGTTAGATATTGTATACTGATAATATGATTGGGTTTCGCAAGACCTTTCACTCCCATGTAAACCCATATCATGTTGACTGTTATTTAATATATTATTATTATATACAAGCACCTCCTAGTTTGGTCAAATTCTAACCCTGCTTATATTCAAACTTATTGCTGAGACTACTAAAAAGTGTTATAGTAGTCTTATCTTAGCGTACTGCGTACTGAAAGGAGCAAGTTATGATTTGCGTACGTTGCGGTCTGTTTCAAATATATGTTTTTTCGTTTTCATTGGGCATTCCAGTTTCCTGTCAAACTTCCGGAATATGTTTTGACATTTCGAAAGTACAGAAAATAACGAGAAGGAAAAGTAAGTTTAAATTTTAAAAGGTAAAAGCTTCCTTTAAATTATTTCAGTAAAAACTGAATAAGTCCATAATGCTAACTAACACTTCGGAACATGTAGGGTTGCGAGGCTTTTAATTTGTCAGATGCGATACTCTCGGGGGATCACAGTCATGACAGTGTCTTCCCGGATTTAGTTCTTCTTTTAGGAAGTGGCTGAATATTGCGCTGACGTATGTATGTATGTATGTACGTAGATTCCTCCGTTATTCGGGGCGCCCATCGAGAGCTGCGAGGGTACAGTGGAATCCGTGTACACTCCCAATCGGGATTAATGGAGATGTGTCACTAACGTATTCATGGTATTTACAACAACATTTACAAGGACATCCCCCACCCCAACACAAAGGGAGTGCTAGGACACTGGGCAGTCTGTTATTATGGTGGAGTAATCCGAAGTACTCGGAGAGAACCACCTGGCTGCCATGCCGCTGCGGGAACAGACAAACCGAAGAGATTTCAGAAGATAAACGTATTTACACTTTTGGTATTTAGCTATATTTTGCCTCTGAATGACCTTAGATCTACTCCGAATCACCTTTTGACGTCGGGCAACAATCACTTTTTAATTGTGACGTCGAATGTTTTGAATTATGATGTCAAAGTTTACGGGAACCTGTGTGATTTTACATAATGGGGGACAAATTTGCATACAAGTGTAAATACGTCTATTGATCTCCAGGTCAAAGTAGGGGGCAACTTTGACCAATACAATAGTTCTGTGTCATTCGTTCGAATTTGGGCTAATACCATTTATTATTGACGGGAGTTGACACTACCTAATTATAGCCGATTTTTTCGCCGGGTCATAGTTAATAAATGACACAATAGATATGGAAACGGACATGTGTAAAATATGTACTCGCTATTAACGGCTTTGCATTAAATGTCATTCAAACTAAGTAATAAGTGATGCCAGTGTATCGAACTTGTAATCTGTCACTTCAAATTTTTCATAATCGCATTCATTTCATCACAGAAGGGTACAAAATGCAAATGGGGTAATAAAAAAATGGCGCTGATGGCATTCCCAGTAACTGCTAATTTCACAAACCATTTTAAAACACTTCACATCAAATAAATCACACTTTTATTATATTACAAAATATATTTACTTTACGATAAAACTTCCCAGTTCATTGTATTTGTTAAAGGTTTGGAATTATGTGGTTAATTTATTGAGCAGTTCTGATAGTTTTTCCGTCACTCTTCCATAATCCATAAATCTCAGCAGTTTCGTAAAGTTCGGGATTTTATCAATTTTATACTTAAAAGCCTATCAGATTCATATCCGGTTAGATATACTGTTCCTAGGTGCAACTGACTTATTCTGTATCTTGACACTTCTTTGGTGTTTTGTTAGGGATTGTCCTGGCTGGTGGGTTGTTCGTATGTAAAGTTACACATCTCAATTTATCCTGATACGAAATGTGCATGATTCCACTGTATCCTTGCAACTCTCAGGGTGTTCTGAATAACAGATGAATCCGTCTTCTGTAGATGATCCTCTTGACACTGGATGGTCGCTCATGTAATTCAAATGTCTCGCGTTTACAAAATATTTTCTTGTTTTTGTTAAACTCACATTATTTAATCATGTGTTAATAGGTGTCAACTTTATGTAAAATTAATTGAAATTAAAAGAGTCTCAATCACTAATAAAATCTCCAAAAAAACACTTTAGTAAAGACTTTTACAATGGGATAGTTGTCGTTCCTTTTGAACGATATTAAAAGTTCAGGTGTACAGATCCCATATGAAAATTTAACTTTTGTCAAAGTTTTTCTTTTCCAAAGTTCACAATGAAGTAAATAGTGAATGATGGTTTCTAGTTGACCACATTCACAATTTGGATCTGTATTAATGTTAATTGTATGTTGACAATTTCTTAGTTAGTTTCCTGATCTTTAACATGTTTAATAACTGATAATACCTGATGTTTTTTTAATTGTAAAATCATATACATGTAACACTTTTTCTGGTTCATGTACATGTTGATGAACATTGTAGAGAATCTTCCTACATCACTATTATCCCATCCTTGTTGCCTTTTTTGTCGAGCCTGCAACTTTTGTTGCAGAAAGCTCTATATAGGGATAGTGATCCAGTGGCAACGGATGTGGTGTTAGCTAACTTCTTAAAAGCTTTGTATTTTAGAAAGTGGAAGACCCGGATGCTTCATACTTTGTATATAGATGCCTTATGTTACGAAGTTTCCGTCTGCCACATGTCCATTGTCCATGACCTCATTTTCATGGTTCAGTGACTACTTGAAAAAAAAGTTAAGATTTTTTGTAATGTGAATTTCTCTCTTATAATGAGTAATAGGATAACTATGCCCGTCAGACAGTTTTCATTTGACCTCGACCTCATTTCATGGATCAGTGAACAAGGTTAAGTTTTGGTGGTCAAGTCCATATCTCAGATACTAGAAGCAATAGGTCTAGCATATTCGGTGTATGGAAGGACTGTAAGGTGTACATGTCCAACTGGCAGGTGTCATCTGACCTTGACCTCATTTTCATGGTTCAGTGGTTATAGTTAAGTTTTTGTGTTTTGGTCTTTTTTTCTAATACTATATGCAAAAGGTCAACTATATTTTGTGTATGGAATGATTGTAAGGTGTACATGTCTAGCTGGCAGGTGTCTTCTGACCTTGACCTCACTTTCATGGTTCAGTGGTCAATGTTAAATTTTTGAGTTTTGGTCTTTTTTTCTAATACTATATGCAAAAGGTCAACTATATTTGGTGTATGGAAATATTTTATGATGTACATGTCAGTCTGGCCGGTTTTATTTGACCTTGACCTCATTTTCACAATTCATAGCTCAGTGTTAAGTTTTTGTGTTTTGGTCTGTTTTTCTATTACTATAAGCAATAGGTCAACTATATTTGTTGTATGGAAGGATTGCAATCTGTACATGTCTGCCTGGCATGGTTCATCTGACCTTGACCTCATTTTCATGGTTCATTAGTCAATGTTTAGTTTTCTTGGTTAAGTCTGTATCTTAGAAACTATAAGCAATAGGTCAACTATATTTAGTGTATTGAATGATTGTAAGGTGTACATGTATTTCTTGTTTGGTTTATATGAACTTGACCTCATTTTCTTGGATCATGTTAAGTTTATGTGATACATGTAGTTGTAGTAAAGCTTTATATTTAGAACTATCAACATAATATCAATGATAAGCATGATAAGTAAAGAAGGCGAGACATTTCAGCTTGTGCACTCTTGTTTAATTACGAATGATCTTGCATCTGTTCTTTTGTCTGCTTGGACTGCTTGGTTACTGTAAAATGTGCTTCATTGGATACATGTATGTCATTAGCTTCCTTTGCTGCCCTTTTCCAAACTGTCAGCAATTCTGTTGCCATGTACACTTGCATGACCAGCTATCCATTCAAAACTTATTTGTATTCCATATTGATTGTGATTGATTTCATTTTTGAAAGAATTTTGATAAGCAGTTGACCTGTGATTTTCTGTAGAGTATTTTCCAATTTAGAGGGGCCTCGGTGGCCAAGTGGTCTAAGTAGTCCATCTACTGTGTTGCTAGCCTGTCAACACTGAGGTTGTGAGTTCAACCCCGCATGTGGCAGGTGTCTTAATTGACTAGGATTTTCATGTTTTCTTGCTTAAGGTCAGTGGTCAGGGTAATATAAGCTTCCATACTCCATAGGGAGCTTAAATGGTAGATTGGTAGATTTCCCTGAAAAATGTTCAACAGTAGTAATCCATTTACCATCATTTTTATACGACCGCAAAATTTTTGCGTTTTTATCATGTTATGGCGATGTCTGCCTCGTTGTCCAAAGACATTAATTTGTTGTCTGAAGACATTTTGGTCGCAGACAATAGCTTCAGTATACAGTAAGTGTATGGATCTCTATGAAATTTTAGCACAAGGTTCCATATCACAATAGGAAGGTTGGGATTGATTTTGGGGGTTATTGTCGTTGCTGTTTAGTAAAAAAGGGCCAAAAATAAGTATTTTTCTGGTTTGCAGAAAATAACTTGAGTATAAGTGTACGGATCTTCATGAAAATTTAGCACAAGGTTCCATACCAAAATACAAAGGTTGGGATTGATTTTGGGGGTTATTGTCGCAGCTGTTTAGTAATTAGGGGCCAAAAAACATGCATTTTTCTTGTTTCATGACAATAACTTATGTATCTCTTTGAAATTTTACCACATTTATACCTCAAAAGGAAGGTTGGGATTGATTTGGGGAGTCATGGCCCAAACTATTTAGGAATTAGGGGCTGAAAAGGGGCAAGATAAAAATAGGATTTTCGGGTTTCTGGACAATAACTTGAGTAAAAGTCTTTGGATTGCTATTTAATGTTACCACAAGGTTCCATACTTCAAAAGGAAGGTTGGGATTGCTTTCAGGGGTTATGACCTTAATGGTTTAGGAAAAAGGGGCCAAAAACAAAACTTTACTAATACCTTGCATAAATTACTTATTTCTTGACCAATTTCAATGGGGTTTAATTCAAAGTCTTGAAATCTTGGGGTTCTTTAATATGCTGAATCTTACCATTTATTTAGAATTGGATCCTGATTTCAAATTGGTCCATATTTAGGTCTAAAGGGTCCAAAATAAAACATTGTTTGATTTCATTAAAAAATTGAATTATTGGTGTATTTTGATATGCTAAATCTTACCGTGTATTTAGATTTTAATTTTGGGGCCTGTCTTCAAATTTTTCCACATTAAGGGCCAAAGGGTCCAAAATATACTTTGTTTGATTTCATCCAAAATTAAATTCTTGGGATTCTGTGATATGCTGATTCCATCCATGTATTTAGATTTTGGATATTGGACCAAAATAGGTAACTGTCCAATTTCAAATTTTTCAGTTCTTTGTCCACATTCACTTTGTGTTAGAAACCTATGATGTGTCAAGTATTTAAATACAATCCAAATTCAGAGTTGTATCAAGCTTGGATGTAGTGTCCATACTTGCCCCAACTGTTGAGGATTCAACCTGTGCAGTTGTATCAAGCTGCGACGCACAGAGCATTTTATTTTAACTATCATGACCATGAATCTTGATGACAATTGTTTTAAACAGTAAATGTAAGTTGAATATATCTTTTGATTTGAAACTATTTGTCCAAAATGCTGTGTCCCTTGACATTAGGTGTTACTTTAAAGTTCAGAGGTATTTATTGTCTGTTATTATTGTAATCTACATATGTGTTTCTTTTGAATTTAGAATATAAAAGAAAATGAGCTATCCATACCAAGGCAATCCCGGCTATGGGGCTCCCCCTGGTGGGTATGGACCACCACAACCAGGCTACCCACAACAAGGAGCACCACAGCCAGGCTTCCCCCAACAAGGAGGGTATGGACAGGTATGTAGACAAGGAACGATTTACTGTGTATGAGGAAATTTTCATGTGAATGTATGTTCTCTTTGCTATGTTTTCTAGATATTTTACAACAGAATTTTTCCAATGGAAAAAAATCTTATTCTATTTAAATTCATTGCACAAGGCCATGAAATGCAAGCAACAATCACAGTGGACATTTAACTGCCTCTTCATAGACAAAAATGGTAAACAAAACCTGTTGGATGCCAAAAAATAAATTATTGTTTCTTTTATTAAAAGGTTTCCATGCCAACAGTAGAGAGTGCATCTGCAGCAGCTTATGGCACTTCCTCTGGAGGATATCCAAGTCAGCCAGGTCAAATTGGTTTTGATGTAAGTACCTGACTCACCACTATGGCTATCTTGCTAAAAATAGACAGAGGGCAAACTAAATTGAATATTTTTTTCTGCTAAACAAGTGATACCAAGCTGCTTGAGACCAAATCATGGTATTTTTTTTAACTACGACTGCTAGATTTCTTTATTAGATTAGATGAATAGCAGAAAAAAATATTTTGAAATTATATTCAATAAATAAGTCAAACATTTTCCTTGTGTGCCGCCATTTCAGTGGACACCTGAAGACCCAAGCCAAAAGCCAAGATGACAACCACTCTGCCTTTGAAACTTAAACCCATAAAATATAGCCCAAGTTTGATTTTGAAACTTAAACCCATAACATACATGTATAGCCCAAGTTTGATTTTGAAACTTAAACCCATAACATACATGTATAGCCCAAGTTTGATTTTGAAACTTAAACCCATAACATACATGTATAGCCCAAGTTTGATTTTGAAACTTAAACCCATAACATACATGTATAGCCCAAGTTTGATTTTGAAACTTAAACCCATAACATACATGTATAGCCCAAGTTTGATTTTGAAACTTAAACCCATAACATACATGTATAGCCCAAGTTTGATTTTGAAACTTAAACCCATAACATACATGTATAGCCCAAGTTTGATTTTGAAACTTAAACCCATAACATACATGTATAGCCCAAGTTTGATTTTGAAACTTAAACCCATAACATACATGTATAGCCCAAGTTTGATTTTGAAACTTAAACCCATAACATACATGTATAGCCCAAGTTTGATTTTGAAACTTAAACCCATAACATACATGTATAGCCCAAGTTTGATTTTGAAACTTAAACCCATAACATACATGTATAGCCCAAGTTTGATTTTGAAACTTAAACCCATAACATACATGTATAGCCCAAGTTTGATTTTGAAACTTAAACCCATAACATACATGTATAGCCCAAGTTTGATTTTGAAACTTAAACCCATAACATACATGTATAGCCCAAGTTTGATTTTGAAACTTAAACCCATAACATACATGTATAGCCCAAGTTTGATTTTGAAACTTAAACCCATAACATACATGTATAGCCCAAGTTTGATTTTGAAACTTAAACCCATAACATACATGTATAGCCCAAGTTTGATTTTGAAACTTAAACCCATAACATACATGTATAGCCCAAGTTTGATTTTGAAACTTAAACCCATAACATACATGTATAGCCCAAGTTTGATTTTGAAACTTAAACCCATAACATACATGTATAGCCCAAGTTTGATTTTGAAACTTAAACCCATAACATACATGTATAGCCCAAGTTTGATTTTGAAACTTAAACCCATAACATACATGTATAGCCCAAGTTTGATTTTGGTGGTTTTTGACATTTACAGTTCAGTAGCCCTTATAATTAGTTACCTTACTAATTGAGATTTTTGTTTCTGGATGAAAATTATATTTTCCTGACTTCATCACTAAGACTTACTACTTTTCAAAGAACAGTAACATTGTTAATTTTTTTTTTTTACATTTTATCCATTTGTATTTTAAGTAATGCATTAATGATTTGTATACTCAGATATTCAAGGAACAAAATAGATGTGTTTGTGGATAACCGTACTAGTGAAGAACACTATGTTAAAGTGAATCTATCAGTTCTAAAAATAGCATTATAAAAGTAGTGTTATCTTCCTTAGTTCATAATTATATAAATTATAGTTGAACGAAATACAGTAATGGATAAAGGATGATATCTCCAATTCAAAATTTGCCTCTCACTGCAAATGCAATGTTTATATATGATTAACTAAGTGCCCATTGCAAAATGAATGCAACTCTTACCATTCAGTGCTCACAAGCACCTTGATTGATTATATTAGGTATTCATGGAATATAAAGATGAAAACCTTCAAATGGGAAAAGTATGAATATAATGTCATGGATCATAAAATAAAGGTCAAGTTTGAATCCGGTGTTTTAGAAACTCGCTTTTCAAAAGTTATGCCCTTAGTTTCCTTAACATTTTTATTTTTTGTAAGTACCACTTGACCAAAGTTTTTGAAATTTGAACATGATGTTATCCAACATAAAATACAGGTCAAGTTCAGTTTTGTGATTTGTATCTTACCGTTGAAGATTATAAAGTCTCTCAACTAAATTAGCTGCTATAATTATTAGTAGAAATTTTCAGAAAAACATGAAGTTAAATAGTTTTGTCAGTAAACTTTATCTTGAGGAGTATATGTAAATTAGGCATTGTCTTTATGGAAGAAAATTGACTTCCAATATAAAAACTTTTTTAGTGAATTTTATCATAAAATGTTGAATTTTCTTTTAAAATGATTTTTTATTGCATTTTATACTATACTAGTATAAATATTTGTACATTTACTTCAAGTAAGACAACATTTGGTCTCCATTGGAGAGTTGTCTCATTTGCAAACATACCAAATCTTCTTCTTTTTTATGTAAATTAGATATGGAAAATCACATGTAAATATATTTCATTTTTTATTTAAACAAAGAATAAACAAAAATATTTATAAACTTGAGGGACAACTTGTTGATTGATATTTTGACCGAAATGTGTGTAAAATTGTTTTGATTGTGTAAATTTCACATTGCATGTATTTGAAAAAAGAGCCATTTAAATATTTTCAGGTTGGTGGACCTCCACCAGCAGCTGGATATGGACCACCTCCTGTTGCATCATATGGAGCACCACAGCCCCCTCAACCAGCCATGCCTTCAAGTTATGGTCCTCCACAACCTCAGTATCAGGTAAACCTGGTGTCAATTAATTTAACTGTAAAAACTGCCAAATCTTCATATAATTTTCTGCTGATGTGGCGTAAAGCAATCACCAATCCTATTATTTTCAATCACAGCATCAATACATTGAATGAAATTTTAGCCTTCAAATTTTTGAAGGTGTGTATTAATGGGACAAAACCAGAGGGTCTCGAAAGTTCTTTGAAAAAAAGAGTAGAAATTGGGGTCACAAGAGTCTTTTTCTTGCAACAAAACAAAACAGGTAAATTTGAAGAAAAACTTTTTATACGACCCCAAAAAAATTTTGGGGTTGTTTATTGCTATCATGCGGTCCTCTGAGTCGTCGTCCTCGTCATCCGAAGACATTTGGTTTCCAGACAATAACTTAAGTTTAAGTGTATGGATCTCTATGAAATTTTACTAAAAGGTTCAATACCACTAAAGAAAGGTTGGGATTGTTTTTGGGAGTGATGGTCCCAACCGTTTAGGGATAAGGGGCCAAAAAGGGTCCGAAAACAAGCATTTTTATACGCCCGTCAAATTTTTGACGGGACGTATAATGGTTTACAAATGTCCGGCGTCCTTCCATCTGTCTGTCTGTCTGTCTGTCTGTCCGTCTGTCTGTCTGTCTGTCTGTCCGTCTGTCTGTCCGGCATAAACATGTAGCACAGTAACTTGAGAATGACTTATCCAAATTTCATGAAACTTAACATAGTTGTTTCTTATGATGGTCAAACGATCTGTATACTTTTTGGTGAAAATAAGATTAAAACTTTTTTGAGTTACGGGACTTAGTAACTAAAACAGGTGTGTGTTTTTTTTCACATGTCGCGCCGTATCTCAAAAACAATTTATGATTATTGCTTAAAACTTTACACACTTCTTAGTTATATTAATCTTAAGATCTGTATACTTTTAGGTGATGATTCAAAATTTTATTTTAGAGATATTGAGTATTTTGTTAAAAAAGGGGGAGGGGTTTTTCACATGTCGCGCCGTATCTCAAAAACAGTTTATGATTATTGCTTAAAACTTTACACACTTCTTAGTTATATTAACTTTAAGATCTGTATACTTTTTGGTGATGATTTAAAATTTTATTTTTGAGTTATTGAGTATTTTGTAAAAAAAGGGGGAGGGGTTTTTCACATGTTGCGCCGTATCTCAAAAACGATTTATGATTATTGCTTAAAATTTTACACACTTCTTAGTTATATTAATCTAAAATTTTGTATACTTTTTGGTTTTGATTCAAAATTTTATTTTTGAGATATTGATTTTTTTTTTTTCAAAAGGGGGGGTTTTCACATGTCACGCCGTATCTCAAAAACGATTTATGATTATTGCTTAAAATTTTACACACTTCTTAGTTATATTAATCTAAAGATCTGTATAGTTTTTGGTTTTGATTCAAAATTTTATTTTAGAGATATTGAGTTTTTTGTAAAAAAAAATGGGGGGTTTTCGTATGACACGCCGTATGTCAGAAACTATTTATGCTAATTGCATAAAAATTCACACACAAGACGACGGGCGTATCATGCGCTCATGGCGCAGCTGTTTATTCTTGTTTCAGGACAATTACTTGTGTATAAGTATATTGATTGCTCTGAAATTGTACCACAAGGTTCAATACTACAAGTCAAAGGTTGGGATTCATTTTGGGGGGTAATTGTCCAAACCGTTCAGGAATAAGGGGCCAAAAAGGGTCTAAAACAAGCATTTTTCTAGTTTTCAGACAATATATTGTGTTTAAGTGTATTGATGTCTCTTAAAATGTACCACATTTTACAAAAAGAAAATTTTCTTCAAATGGTATTTTTTTTGGAAAAGGGGGGGGGGTAAAATTTTTTTTTTTTTTCAAGATTTAAGAAATTGTCAATTTTCCAAAGAAAAATTGGGGGTCACAATTGCTAATTCTTTGTATATAGTCTGAAAACAGATTTACTAAGTATTGCACAACAGCACAGTGTATTGCACAAAAGCAAGAAATCTTCAATTGAATATAAATTCAAATCATATAACCAATTTTAAGTTCTTTGACTACATTTATTCTGTGTCAGAAACCTATAATGTGTCAAATATTTAATTACAATCCAAATTCAGACCTGTATCAAGCTTGAATATTGTGTCCATTTTTACCCCAACTGTTCAGGGTTAGACCTCTGTGGTCGTATCCAGCTGCGCTTGGCGAAGCAGTTTATTTAAAGTTTCTTTATCTCAGTTATCTTCACTTGTATGACAAAATTTAATAAAATTAAGATCAAACAATAGATATTCTGTATTTGTAAAAATTAGATAAAACACACAATTTTCTTCATTTTAATGAAAAGTCTTACCAATGAATAACATCTCTCAAAATTTACACATTTCATTAAAGATCTAGCCCAATTTTTTTCTGCTACTTTTCAATTCAAGATGGGAAGAAGACTCTAGATTGTTTATTGAAGCTGTAATAAATAGTTGAGAGAATGCCAAGCATTTACTTTAAATAGGGTATTGCAGGCTTAGTGTTCTAGTTTATACTTCCAGCTATTATTAAAGAAAAACTGGCTGTATAGGTGTCGTAAAAGTTATTGTCATTTATGGGGGTAAAAGTTATTGTCATTTATGGGGGTAAAAGTTATTGTCATTTATGGGGGTAAAAGTTATTGTCATTTATGGGGGTAAAAGTTATTGTCCTTTATGGGGGTAAAAATAATTGTCATTTATGGGGGTAAAAATTATTGTCCTTTATGGGGGGTAAAAGTTATTGTCCTTTATGGGGTTAAAAGTTATTGCCATTTAAGTGGGTAAATGTTATTCTGTAAAGTTTACTGGAGTGGTTGGTACAATCATCTGTTTAACTTCATAGATTCATTGTTTAGATTAAAATTCCTGGCCAGAAATGTAAATATTTGTACTTAACCAAGATGTGTTTTTTTGGATCTTGAGAGATATGATAAATATTCCCATACAGACATAAGAGTTAAATAATGGGAATTGCCTTCAAAAAAGGGTGAAGCAATTTCATTACAAGTCCAGCATTTTCTTGCATTATGTCTTATAATGTGATGGTTTATTTGTAGAGTTCTACACCAGCCTATGGATCTGCTCCAGGGTACAACCCTCCCCCTCAGGGTGGCTATGGTCCCCCACAGCCACAAGGAGGATTCAACCCACCTCCACAGCAACCAACACCTGGTTATAACCAAGGTTATCCACAGTCAGGACAGTCCTATGGAGCCTCTGCCCCACCTCCTGCTGGAGGATCATATGGTGCCCCACCTCCACAGCAGCAAGGAGGGTATGGTGCACCCTCATCACAACCTGGTAGCTATGGTCAGCCAACATCACAACCAGGTGGATATGGTCAACCAACTGGTCAGCCAACATCACAACCAGGTGGATATGGTCAACCAACTGGTCAGCCACAGAGTTATGGACAACAACAGCAACCTCCCTCACAGCAGTATGCTTCACAACCACCTAGACCTTCACAGCCAGCTGGAGCAGCAAATGCATTTGTTCAGAAGGTAAGGGAGACAATCCTCATTTCAGCTAGCAGGGGTCAGCAGGTACATTTACTCATAAAGTAAGGGAAGTAACTCACAGCCAGCCTGAGTAATCCTATCCCATACTCTATAGTGAATCCTAGTCATTCTGTCTTTAACCTGTCCTGTTGGTGCCAAATATAATATTACTTAATATTTCCAATAACTATGTACCCATGAAGATTTTGAATTATTTTATGTAATGGTCCAAGAAAATATTTTTGTGATAGTACCAATTTATTTAATAAAAAGGAGGGTCTTTTGTATTTATTCTTATGATAAACATCCCTGTTGTAAAGAGATGCTTTGCGAACTTTCAACAGCAATTTTAAGGAAAACACTTGTCTGGAAGAGAAATAACAACAAGAGAATATGGATATCTTAGTCCATACATATTATTCTCATGAAGTTGCAGACTACTATTTTCATATAAATTGCTTTATATTTTATTTGTGAAATAAAAAGAAGATCTATCTGATAATAAATTCCTCTTCTAAAATCCCTTAGCTTGACAGGCTGATGCCAATTAAAATATACAATATAAAGCAGACATGAAAATATCTCCTCTCTCTCCCCATTGCATACTTGTAGCAAAATCTTGATATTAAACAATTTAGTGCCACAAATTGAAAGTAGATGTAAAAATCTACTCTCTGCTTTGCATCTAAAGCTTTATATTAAGGTACCTCATCAGGAAACTATGAATTAAAATGTAGTCATTAAAATCTATCCCATACTTTTGTAGCTTTGCAGCCAATGTTTTATATTACATTGTACTGACAATTCAAAAATTATTACTATGATGTTTGAAGAATGGGCAAAACTGCAACAATAAATATTGAGATTTCAGGAAAATCTGCATACAGATATCAGAATGCTAGTTCCTTTGATATTTGAAATACTCACCCAGTTACATTAATATAAACCTCACAATAATTTCAGAGTTTACAGTTCTCCATTCATAAAACTCAATTAATAGTAAACATAAAAATCTCCTTCATACCTAGCAACCAAAGTATGATTGGCCTATAAAACTGTGAAATATTAAGAAAGTCTACCTTCTATTTTCACATCTAAATCATGATTGACCCTCTCTTAAAAGTAGGATAATTCTAGATCCTCCTTTATGCTGTACTAATGACTAAACTTGAAAGGTCTACTCTAAAAATTACAGATGAAAAAGTAGAAATGAAAATCTACCTAATACTTTTTAGCCAAAGCCTGTTCCCAGGCAATTATCGAATGGTGTTCCAAGTCAAATATCTAATGGTGTTCCCAGACAAACGTCTAAAGTTGAACCCAAACAAACATCTAAAATTGATCCCAGACAAAGGCCTAAAGTTAACGATGACACACCCCCACCTCCTCTGCCTCCAAGGAAAAAGATTGTAAGTATATAGTTCTGTATGATTATACTGGTAGACTATGCAGATATATCTATCTAATTGTGAACTTACCATGATATCAGTTTTTAAAGGAAAAAGATGCAGTATTGAAATTAATTATTTGTGAGTAATAACATTCTAACAAAAATATTTCTAGGTTCATGAACTTCACCAAAGGTCACAAATGTCATATGGCTACTATTATCTATACTGCCTATTTGGGTAAATTATATACTTTGCACAATAGTTTTCAATGACATTAACCCAGTGTGGGTCAAGGTCAGTTTATTACAGAAGCCTTTGTTATGCACACTGATATTGCATTCATTGGTATGATAAGTTTTATCAAGGTTGAAAAGGTATTTGAATGATGTGGTGGCCATACCTTTATATGACGTGGCTGGATCTCAGTTATTCATCAGTTGTTGATTCTATGGTGAAATGAATTTGTTATGACCATCTCCAACTCAGAACTCCAAAGGTCAAGGTTACACCCAGTCAATGTAGTAATGTCTTTTGTTGCCATGGCCATTGCCTTTTAAGTTACAATTTAAATTTATTTCACCATTATAGTACTTTACAGATACATGTATTGTATAGAACCATTATTAATTATTGAATGAAATATACAAGTTGAACATTAGAATTGGCATCAACTAGTCAGGACATTTGACAGTCTTTTCACTAGCAATCTTTTTTTCTAACTTGTGGTTTTGAAATATCCTGTCATGGAGTATGGGGAATAAACTGGGAATGTATATTTTTTGGACAAGTGTAAAGGGATGATGAGAATCTAGAAATATTTTGATCTGTTTATTTTTATGATCTAAATTTCTGTTTCATTAAATTTTTGGAAACAGTAAATATTTAATCTGCATGGAAATGCATTCAAAGCAGTTATTTTCTTACCTGCTTAGCATATATGACTTAATCAGATTTATTTTAAACCAATATGATAATGATCTGCTTCTCTACCAGTAGATTTCAGAATAACAATTGTTCCTATCCCAGCTAACTTATTCCTGTCAAACAAAGGTCAAGGTGAAGGTGACACTGCTGTTGGTTTATTTGTTTCATGTTCATTAGATTTGTTACAGATGCTGCAGATCAGATAATTTCTACACAAACTTAATTTATGAAAGCTCTTATTCATTTTAAGTTTGCCTCATTGATTCATTGATATAGGTTAGGATCTATATCAGATCATGGGTAGTGATTTAGAATTAATCTGTAAATTCAGAAATTTTTTGCATGAATTGATTGTAAATTTGAATAAAGAACAAAGAATGAGTATTAAAATTTCAGCAATTATTGCATACAGATAATATATATAAATAGTGTCAAGATTTTAAAAACAAGTTTTTATTTTGCAATACCTATTCTGTTACAACTTTTGAGATAGTAAAAAATATCACAAAAGTTACTGATTTTACAGTGAATATATTTTTTTATGCCCCCGCCGTAGCGGAGGGGGCATTAAGTTTTACCCTTGTCCTACGTCCGTAAGTCCCAAAATTGGTTTCCGTTCTCTAACTTGAGTTTGCCTCAACCAAATGTTATGAAGCTTATACACAATGCTAATTACCACAAAACACAGATCAAGTTTGAATTTTGGTAGGGTCACTCTAACCGTTCTAGAGTTAGGCCCCTTTATAAATGGAAAAATTGCAAAATTTTTAGTTTCCGTTCTCTAACTTAAGTTTGCCTCAACCAAATTTTATGAAACATATACACAATGCTTATTACCACAAAATAAAGATCAAGTTTGAATTTTGGTTGGGTCACTTTAACCATTCGCGAGTTATGCCCCTTTATAAATGGAAAAAAATGCAAAATTTTTTTAGTTTCCGTTCTCTAACTTAAGTTGCCTCAACCAAATGTTATGAAACTTATACACAATGCTTTTTACCACAAAACACAGATCAAGTTGAATTTTTGTAGGGTCACTTTAATCATTATCGAGTTATGCCCCTTTATAAATCGAAAAATTGCAAAATTTTTAGTTTCCGTTCTGTAGCTTAAGTTTGCCCCAACCAAAAATTATGAAACCTTTACACAATACTTATTGCCTTAAAACTCAGATCAAGTAAAAATTTGGGAGCGTCACTTTTATCGTTCTTGAGTTATGTCCCTTTATAATGTTGTATGCAAATGGGGGCATCATCTGTGGCCATGGGGACACATTCTCCATTTAGTTAATTAAACGTTTATATAGAAAGTTAAAATATAATTATATATAAACCACATAAACAATTATTGCAGATATATTTGGTATTGTTTTATTGGGTTAACATCTAAACTAACTTTCATTTTGTTGAAAACAGGAGTTCTTTTCCAAAAAAAAGGGTGACTTTCAGTCCTAAACTTTGTCAGAATGCATTTGAGGGGATAAATGGGTCACCCAAGAAGGAAGCTAATGTGACTTATATTGACTTAGTTGAATTGGATGCATCATAGTTATGTTTTCCGATACACGATGTTTTGATGTTATGAATGAACTGCCTTGGTTGACCCGGGATCATTTTGGGGAAACGCCTAATAGGACATTGTGACTTAAAGATATTTGCTATGACGTCCGATTTTTCCTAGAAAAAGCACCACTTGGAAGATTATAAGTTATATGGTTTGCTACTGAACCCCTACGGATCTATAGAGTGTTAATAAAACCATAGGAGGTTAGGCGGAAGACCATAGTAAAGTTTTCTATTATTTACTTTTTTCCAAGATGAGTTTGTTTATCTCCTAAAGTTTAGCAGCAGTACATAGGTCTGTAGTATCTGTAACAAACTTTCTGTTCAACACACAAGTTTTATGTTTATGTAACAAACTTTCTGTTCAACACACAAGTTTTATGTTTATGTAGCAATAACAATCAAACCTTATTCCTTGCAGCTATTGAAATCTATGATGATATTTCAATAAAAGGTATTTAAGAAAATGATGAGTAAAAAAAAAATAACCCACTGAAATTCATTAACTTAATTGATAAATAATTTAAAATGTCATAAAATAATAGATAATGTTTTTTTGTTATCATTGTTTAAATCCATAAGATAGCACCAATTCCCTTCTAACAACCTTCTGGATCCATCCTCCTGTTACAATATGAGAAACAATGAAACCAATATTCAGACGAATTAAACATTAGCAATTGAGGGACAAAGGAGTAATTCATTGTTGACCTATTTATCTATCAAAAATAAAGTATTCTTTATTTGCAATTTGTTTTGTACATTGTAACAACAGTTTTGATATGACATTGTCACATATTTTGAGGGATTTACTTCCCTGTAACCAAGGATTTGTATAGTATATAGCGAATAATTGTTCCGATATCGTAAATGACAAGTAGCAGTGGCGAGTAGCAAAGTCTCGCCGCGTAAAATAAAACGATAAACCATGAGATTCCAATCCTTCTTACTATACAAATCCTTGCTGTAACCTATTGATTCTCTAGTTAATCTAAATCTTAGCAAGTGAAACCTACATTTGCAGTAGCTTTATATGATAAAAAGATGATGTTTCGATAAACACTTGTGAAATAATTGATATTGACTATATGATAAAAGTGGCTTGTAATCCTTGCGGATTTATTGA